TGTAATATTGGAAATTTTATATTTGTCTTACATGTTCCCATCTGGAGAAAATCGACTAAATCAACATTGAACTAATATTCTAGACATGCGGGAGCATATTAAGCCCAGTTCCAGGTAGGGGACTGCACCGTGCGTATATTAAGACGAACCACTTGGAGCCACTTTTAAGTCCTCTTCACTCAAAAACTACTGTGCATTAAAACTTCAAATTAAGCTTATGTGTTGAGACTTGCAAGATAAACATCAGCTTAAAATTTCATAAATATATAGACATGCGGGAGCATATTAAGCCCAGTTCCAGGTAGGGGACTGCACCGTGCGTATATTAAGACGAACCACTTGGAGCCACTTTTAAGTCCTCTTCACTCAAAAACTACTGTGCATTAAAACTTCAAATTAAGCTTATGTGTTGAGACTTGCAAGATAAACATCAGCTTAAAATTTCATAAAATTATACCTCAAACGGTTATTTAGGTACTAGCTGTGCCCGCGACTTCGTCCGCGTGGAATAATGACTTTGGGTAGGCACTTTTAATAATTTAGTCTAATTTATTTTACAAATAGCTTTTGCCCGCGACTTCGTCCGTGGAGAAGTCGAAAACGTTCTCATACGATTATTTTTAAATGTTTTAACGTTATTAAAATATAAAAATCAGGTTAAATAAACATGAAAATATTTTTTTCTTATATTTTATGAATATGCAGCTCGGCCTTTGATTCGGTGAAAGTTACTCGGTGCTATTATTTTTTTACAACGAAATCGAAAACTACACCTACCGCAGTATTATTGGTAATTTTTAGGGTTCCGTAGCCAAAATGGCAAAAACGGAACCCTTATAGTTTCGTCATGTCCGTCTGTCCGTCTGTCCGTCTGTCCGTCTGTCCGTCTGTCCGTCTGTCCGTCTGTCCGTCTGTCCGTCTGTCACAGCCGATTTACTCGGAAACTATAAGTACTACAGTGATGAAATTTGATGGGAATATGTGTTGTATGAACCGCTACAAAATTATGACACTAAATAGTAAAAAAAAGAATTGGGGGTGGGGCCCCCCATACATGTAACTGAGGGATGAAAATTTTTTTTTCGATGTACATACCCGTGTGGGGTATCAATGGAAAGGTCTTTTAAAATGATATAAAGTTTTCTAAAAAACATTTTTCTTAAAGTGAACGGTTTTTGAGATATCAGCTCTCAAAGTCGTAAAAAGTATGTCCCCCCCCCTCTATTTTTATAACTACGGGGTATAAAATTCTAAAAAAAATAGAGGTGATGCATGCTAATTAACTCTTTCAACGATTTTTGGTTTGATCAAAGTATCTCTTATAGTTTTTGAGATAGGTTGATTTAACTGTAATTTTGGTTAAGTTATTGTGCTTACACTGAAAACGATGGCTGAACCTTATAAGATAGATCAAAAAATATACTACAGTATTGTACACCTTTTAAAATCCGCGATGATATAAAATCTTTATAATGTAGGTACTTTTTACGAGAAATATTAGCTTATTCAAGCAATACGCCATTAATCCTTATCCAGTAATGTACCTTAAATACATTGTGCATTTGATAAAGTTTAATATTACAAATGTGATTGTTGAGTAATAATAGGTTAAACATATCCATCGAACCAATATTTTTAAANTAAAACAGATTTTTTTTGCATAAAAATGGTTACTATGAGCCAACCTTAAAAGATAGACATATGCTATGCTACCGCGGACTTTTTTTAAGAACTTTTAAAGGGGAACAATCCTGTCATACATGATGTTTGCGAAACTTTAACCGTTTACGCAGCGTCAGCTCTCAAAAGGAAAAAAATTACTGATTTGAAATATTCTTGATTGGTGCTCCGCTCCTATTAGTCTTAGCGTGATGATAAATAGCCTAAAGCCTTCAGGAACTAACGGGCTATCCAACACAAAAAGAATTTTTCAAATCGGTCCAGTAGTTCCTGAGATTAGCGCGTTCAACCAAACAAACAAACAAACAAACAAACAAACAAACAAACTCTTCAGCTTTATAATATTAGTATAGAAGTATAGATGCAGGCATACAGCGTAAAATTTATATTAGTCTACGTGTTTACCAATGTCAACGGTGCTCAGAGGCATAGTCAGAGGTCAGAGCAGAGCTGTGTCGGTCGATTAGTAAAAAGTGCTTAAAATTATTCACTAGCTTTTGCCGTAATTGTGTCTCATAAATAAGCAGCTACTTACAGACGTCTAAATTATTGATATAAACTTTACTGCCATTTTTTTGGTACATAAGGGTAAATTAATGCCATTAAGACATTATCTGGCAGTTTACCTTCGGTCTAAGCAGAAAAAAATCTATCTGAACCACGTCTTAAAAGTTGTGACGTTATGTACCTACCTACCGTAAAAAAACATAAAACCATTTTAAAAGGTTGAAATCTTGATGATTTTCGTAGTTTCACGTACGCATGTTGATAGGCGCAGTGGTGTGTGTGAGTGCGCGACACCTCGCCGCCGTTTGCTGCTTTCACTTCAGATAGCATAGAGATAGCGTCGTTCGCGCGATTCAATTGCAGAGATTCACCCCTAAGGTAAGTCCTCTACTGATACTGTGCGATAAAAATGCTTCGTTTTATCAATCCTCTTTTCGTTTTTTTTTATCCACAACGAGTAAGCTCTTGGCCTGTATTTCACCTGATGGTAAGTTTGTTTTAGCCAATGACGTCCACGGCTGGACAAAAGCATTCCCTAAGGATTTTACAACCAGTCCTGTGCTGGCCTTGTCTATTTACCTCTGGTAATTGATGATGATCAATCCCACACAGATAAAATATAGTTGCATATTTGTTTTAGTCTATTCTAGTCCCAGTTCTATTGCTGACTTAATAGTTGGTGTAAATCTTCGTTCCTTATTACGAGTACAACTATTTTTATCCAGTAAACTGTATTGAGTGACGGCTATAACACATTGAGTTAGGTATTTAGATCACAATGCTGAATGACCACATGAAGATGATAAAGAGAAGTTAAACGTTTGTTTATTTAAATTAAGATAGACTTCGTTGACACGTCATTACTTTTCCAAATAGCCTCGCATAGGAAGTACATCGCACAGTTTTAGTGGAATTTTACCCTTACCGCGTCCACAGCTGGGGCTTTAATGACTGTTTGTAGATATGCCTCGCTTTGATATGCGGTGAAAGGGAGATTCCAAACATTAGATAGCTGGCTGCACATTGAGGTGGTTAGGGCAGTGGTTTGGTGAAGTGTGAATGAATGACGATTTATCAAAAGGGAATGCAGAAACACCCTTTTAGATGCAGGTAATGGCAATAATTATATCTATTTATTTATTAAGCTCTTTCTATATAGATCGATTAATTAAGCTTATTTTGAATAGAACCTAAAATCATCTAATTAGACATTACGTCTGTAACATTTCTGAAAATCCTTTGTATTGCAGAATTTTATGCGTTCTTTTTTCCGTCGGCATTTTTATGAGTACACTGCTGGTGCACATTTGACCTTACCGTGCACAGCTTAAAGCTCATTTTGTTGGTGTGGTAATTGTAAATATTGAGCTGGCGACAATCGCGCGAGAAGACCGCTCGCTAACGAGGCCCCACCCGCTCATTTTCATTTTATCGTCGCCTCACCCCTTAGCTTCTACTTAAAGTTTTTCTTTTGCGGCCCATCATGAGGTTTCTCATTTTAATGCTGAATCTGGATACGAATGTCGCGCTTCGGCGAATCCTCGTCAACATTGCTTGGTTTATTCTTTGGTCGTCAGATTGGTAGTTACAATCTAGTCATAGTTAGGTAGTTAGCGCCTCTGGTTAGTTTATATTAAAGGTTTATTTATTGGGCCTAGTATATCGGGCGGGGTAAATACTCGTAGTATCGATCGTTGTGTCAACTATGAATACAGAATTTTCTGCTTTTTTCTGTGTTACGAAACTAAGCCCGCACAGAAAACACATTATCTCAGCCATATGATGCCTAGATGATATACGGCACACTTTTCTTCGAAAATTATTCAAATATTTGAAGCAAAAACACCTCGGGGAATCTTAACAATGTCATTTTCTTCAACGTTGGATGATCGAAGTTATCGATTCAGAAAATATGGGTGGAAAAATAATAGGGATCGTGGAGTGCTGACGCGTTGAACAAGATGAGCGAGATGCTCAGCGGGGAACAGGGATGAACCTTTTTACCCGACTACGGCGAAGTCAAAAGAAGGGTTATGATTTCAGTTACAGTTATCGCAATAAAGTTTATTCGTCTCACTAGTAAATAACCTCATTCCGCTACTTTTTTATTCACATCAAAGTGTGTACAAGTAAATTTTACCTGTATAACCATAATTTGATTTAAACAAAAGCTTTCGACGTCTATATTAAAATTAGTCAACCACATCTATGTTTATGTACAACATACATTTCCCTGAAGTATTCTAATTCGTTTTAGGGCAACCCTATAGAGACTGCCCGTATTTGTCGACTGAACTGAGACGGGGATTTGGACGTTTCTGCGGAACCAATTGTTGACACATTCTTACAGTTTTGAGCTCTCAGGGTATTTTTAGAGGCGGCAACTGTTTGAGATGTTTACTTACTAATGATCTCATTGGAAAGAAACCTTGCGAAGAATTGAAGATGTGGAATCAAGGTTCGTTTTATTGATCGAAGCTTATTTTTATTTCAACTTATTTTTATACGTGCCAAGAATGTATATTATACCTACCTAAATTGATTTATATCAGAACAAAGATGTTTAATATTATGTGTGAGGCTATTTTCAAACACACATTTTAGCACGCATTTGATTTAAATTAAAAAATAGTTGTAAATGTTCTACCAAATGATCCACGTTTATTCAAAAATAATGTGTGTACCTAAGTAATACTAATATGAAAAATATTGTGCAAGTGCAAAACCAATTAATCTAATTGAAAGTGGCTATGGTCGGTAACATAATTCAAGTAGATTTAAACACTCTGAACAATAGAAATAAATTAAATGAGCTACACGACATTATTAAACTGCAAAGCAATGACAGTGTACGAGGTGAAGAAAGACACGCATGCGGGTAGCAGAGTCATATCGACGTTGATGCAGCCGAATGCGCGCGCGTGGATCGGCCGCGTGGACATCATGCGCAGGAGATCCTTCGTGGCCTTGTGGTAGTCGTCACCTGAAATAAACACCAAATTCTAATCACTTAGATGAGGGAAAGGCAATAGATGATGTGCATTATGCAGCCACCCACAAGGTGGATCGACGACCTCATAAAGGTAGCGGGAAGGCGCTGGATGCAGGCCGCCACCCAGCAGGCCATTATGGAAATCATTGGGGAAGGCCTATGTTCAGCAGTGGACGTCCTATGGCTGAAATGATGATGATGATGATTGTGCAACCAAGATTATGCCAAGATATTCTACGATACTCCCGATGAATTTGAGTCTTTAGTCTAACCAATAATTTAAACATGGAAGAAAATTATTCTACCCCAGGTAACTGAGAGGGTGATCTGTGGTGTGTGTGAAAATATGCGAGCATCAGGCCTCCCTGACCCGACTGGGAAGTACAGGTCAAAACCTCCATTTATTGCTGCTGCAGGAGACTAAGGCTGGGCTGCACCATCTTTAACTTTGACAAACGTCAAAAATCTGTCAAATTCCATACAAAAAACACCGGTTACCTATAGTTACGGTCAAAGTTAGGCAGTGCAACTCAAATGACCTGTCTGTGGTCACCACCTAAGTACCTAATGTTCAGCGAGTAAGAACTGATGATGATGAAGATCTATGGTTACCGCTGTATCACGTGGTATTCAACGAGTAAATTATACTAACTTGGCTGCGACAGTACAAGCAGTTTGCACAGCCGTCGCCGCAGCACGTCAGCGCTGTTCTCCATGCGTTGCGCAGCGCGGGACAGCATGTACAGTATGCACAGCATCAGAGCCAGGGTGGTGAGGTACACAGTCGTGTCCTTTAGTGTAGAGCGGCCCTTGGAATCCAAAAAGGTTATTGAAAACATACTAGTAAATGCTAGTAGCGTGTCCGTTTTGCCTGCTAGGACAGTGTCGTAGAAGAAAAACCACTACGTTACCATTACGAAGGAGTTAATAAAATACTACCCATGAAATTGTAGTTCCCAAATTCAGAAAGTTGTGAGTGTCTTACGCAGGCCACGCCGTAATTTTGATATTGCGTCCGAGTAGTTCACTTGAGTAAAGAATTCGAGACAGTCACCGTGTAGATACGCCAGGAAAACGATTAAGGTAAGTGCGACATTTTTTCTACAAGGTTTAGCAATAAAATAACTTACAGCAACACTTTGTGATGCCATTGTGTACAAAAAGATGATGTAGTAAAACATCGCAGTGGCCAACATGATTGTCAACTGAAAATAGAAAATGTACAATTATTGCAACTTTTTTTGTAATGATAAAAGTAAGTAGAAAAAAACCGGAGTCTTGTACTCTTCACGCTCTACAATAGAACATAATTGGTTCATAATAGTAGGTACCAAAATATAGAGAAGTAAATTATTATGATTACCTGTATACCAAACTAGCGGCCGCCCGCGACTTCGTACGCGTGGATCTCGTTTTACTCCATTAGGGGTGGAGTTTCGTAAAATCCGCTCTTAGCATCTATAGCGCATACATTTTAAATTTCAACTCTCTTACTTTAAACACAGGACTTTCATAATATAAACTTCCAACCCTCCTTTTATCTCCTTAGCCCCCGTAGTTGATTTCTAATGATACATTTTCAGTATAAGTACCACCACCACCACCACCATTTCTGCCATAGGACGTCCACTGCTGAACATAGGCCTCCCCCAATGCTTTCCATGTTGATCGATTGGAAGCGGCCTGCGTCCAGCGCTTCCCTGCTACCTTTACGATGTCGTCGGTCCACATTGTAGGTGGAAGTCCCACGCTACGTTTTCCGGTACGCGGCATCCATTCCAGAACCATTCTGCCCCATCGGCCATCAGTTCTGCGTACTATGTGCCCTGCCCATTGCCACTTCAGCTTGCTAATCCGTCGGGCTATGTCAGCGACTTTGGTTCGTTTACGGATCTCTTCATTTCTGATTCGATCTCGCAAAGAAACACCAAGCATAGCCCTCTCCATAGCACGCTGTGCAACTGAGCTTCTGTATAAGGCCTATAGTGAGAGGCCACGTTTCCGAGCCATAAGTTATCACTGGTAACACACATTGGTTATACACTCTAGTCTTCATGCATTGAGGTATTTTGGACGAAAAGAAAAGATGTTGCGTAGTTTCCCGAACGCTGCCCACCCGAGTTGGATTCGACGATTGACCTCCTTCTCGAAATTGGACCTACCTAGCTGTATCGTTTGTCCGAGGTAGACATACCTACTTGTCGACAATCTCGAGAATTGAGCTCCCAACTGAAACTGGGTAGGGCGCAACATGGACATTCGACATAAGCTTCGTTTTGTCCATGTTCATCCTCAGGCCTACCTGTTGGGAAAATCGATTAAGGTCTTCGAGCATTGTGCCAAGATCTTCCAACGATTCTGCCATGACCACAATATCGTCGGCAAACCGATGTGTACACAGTACCACAGTGTACCGAACAGTATATTATGTACACCTCCACAATATCTAGAGATCATAGTGAGCATACATTTTAACTTTCAAGTCTCTTACTTTAAAAACCGAGGACTGCAATACAGACTTCCAACCCCCTTTTTAACTCCCATAAGGGTTGAATTTTGCAAAATTTCGTCTTAGTGACTACCTACGTTCTAAAAGGAGGTGTATTCCACTTTGATCACCTGGCTTTGATCAGCCAGGTGATCAAAGTGGACTTACAGCGACAATTTAGTGTCCTTTGAATTTATTCTGTGCCTTTGATCACCCACGGATACGATGTCCTGGGTGAGCCAAGTGGACTCTAGTTAAATTATTATTTTAGTGTCCTTTGATCATCTACAAACAAATCACACCTCCTCTGAATAGTCACATGTCCAATTGTTGTACTACATATTTTGTTTTGTAACATTTTTGATATTTTCTAAAAACCGCAATAAACAAATTGGACATGTATGTGACAATTCAGAGGTATGATTTATTTATAGGTGATCAAAGAACACTAAAAAAATAATTTAACTGGAGTCCACTTTGATCATCTTGGTGGTCAAAGCCAGGTGGAATAGACCATTAACCCCTATGAGAACTCTTTTGAGACTTGTAGTTTCTGAGACTTCGTGATGAGTGAGTGAGTCACTTAGTCATTCAATTACCTTTCTTTCTACTAAAATTATACGTACCTATAGTAATTATCATTAAAATCAAATAAGTAAGTACCTACCAACCTAAGTAATTAAAATAAAGACCCTACCAAAAAACTAACAAATTACATACAGAAAATAAAAACGAAGTAATTCTTATCCTATTTAACTACAATCGCCCACGCGCCCATCCCATTTGTCCGCCGCTGAACCGTACCCTAATATTCATCTCGGTAGATGGCGGCACATAGTAAGAATTTGCAAGGAAGTTTGTAAAAAGTCACTAATTAACACTTTGATTTGCTCGTTTAAACACAGTGAATGATTCAAATAGGTACATACAGTGAATGGTTCAGTTACATAAAATATCTTTATTTATTAAATTTTCAATATTATTTACGAACAGCGCTATTCATAGTACATGTAATATTTAGTTACTAATTTACTAATGATGTCGATAGATGGCGATTGACAGCTTTGCCTTCATGAATATTTACGTACCTCAAAAATTTTTGTCAGGCGCAAGAAGATTTTAAGCAATGACGATAGATGGCGCTTTTCCACGTCTTATGAAAATCCCAAATATTTTACGGGACCCTATTGTTTTCCAAAATAAAATTTAGCCTATGTTACTCGTGAGTTATGTAGCTTTCGAATGGTGAAAGAATTTTTAAAATCGGTCCAGTAGTTTTTGAGCCTATCCATTACAACTAAACAAACAAACAAACAAACAAACAAACAAAGTTTTCCTCTTTATAATATTAGTGTAGATATGTAATTAAACAGTTTAGCACTTTCTCTCGCGTGCTTATAGATGACAGACCATCTATCGATCTCCGTGATCAAAGTGTTGCTATCATTGCCTGTTTCACTATCACAGTTAATGGACCGAGTGACGGACTTCAGTTGTTCAGCTATCACGTGGAGAACACAGTACAGGACCAAATACTCGAATATATACCGAAAATCAGACATCAGCATGTTAATTTGAAATAGCCGATGCCAAATTAGATGCAGATCGGGAATCAGCACCCAAGTGGAATGAGCATAAGCGAATACCACAACTTTTACCAAACAAAACCCGAACACGCAGCCCACCACTATAAGGTGCTTCGCTCTAAGACTATTTAGATAATTCTTATCGTTGTCGAAGAATTTGCAACCGGAATTCAAATGGATTATGAGATGTTTATAGCTCTTGGTGTAACAAAAACCGAATACAATGATCACGATGGAATTGACGCTCGTCAAGTAGAAATACATCATGTCAGAATTACATTGCGGGTGTGAATAAAAGAACTGAGTGCGGGTAACGATATGAGCGAATATAAACACCAGCTCAGTGACCACCCGTAATGAAATCAGAGCTTGCATCCACACACTATACAAGCAAACGTTCCGGTAAATACACAGTGCATTTTCTATGTAGTTGGTAAATTTTAGGATGCGTGTCCCCATATTTGAAACGCGAAACACGTCTGGATTACAGGAGTGTAATTAAAATAGTGCAACACATTTCCTAACAGCTTCGAAATGTAATCCATTGCTTAATGAATTGAAACATCACACTGAATAACTTATATGATGGCAAAACTAATTACATTAACGGTTTATTAAATTACTTTTAACCCCTTTTCGCATGTATCTTAATTGCAATTAACAAAATATTTCATAAAAAAACTCTGAAACAAAAATGCCTCCGAATTTGTTGAGTCATGAAATAAAAACCGCGATCGGGACATTATTAATCTACACTAATATTATAAAGAGGAAAACTTTGTTTGTTTGTTTGTTTGTTTGTTTGTTTAGTTGTAATGGATAGGCTCAAAAACTACTGGACCGATTTTAAAAATTCTTTCACCATTCGAAAGCTACATAACTCACGAGTAACATAGGCTAAATTTTATTTTGGAAAACAATAGGGTCCCGTAAAATATTTGGGATTTTCATAAGACGTGGAAAAGCGCCATCTATCGTCATTGCTTAAAATCTTCTTGCGCCTGACAAAAATTTTTGAGGTACGTAAATATTCATGAAGGCAAAGCTGTCAATCGCCATCTATCGACATCATTAGTAAATTAGTAACTAAATATTACATGTACTATGAATAGCGCTGTTCGTAAATAATATTGAAAATTTAATAAATAAAGATATTTTATGTAACTGAACCATTCACTGTATGTACCTATTTGAATCATTCACTGTGTTTAAACGAGCAAATCAAAGTGTTAATTAGTGACTTTTTACAAACTTCCTTGCAAATTCTTACTATGTGCCGCCATCTACCGAGATGAATATTAGGGTACGGTTCAGCGGCGGACAAATGGGATGGGCGCGTGGGCGATTGTAGTTAAATAGGATAAGAATTACCTACTTCGTTTTTATTTTCTGTATGTAATTTGTAAATTTTTGGGTAGGGTCTTTATTTTAATTACTTAGGTTGGTAGGTATTTACCTACTTATTTGGTTTTAATGATAATTACTATAGGTACGTATAATTTTAGTAAAAAGAAAGGTCATTGAATGACTAAGTGACTCACTCACTCATCACGAAGTCTCAGAAACTACAAGTCTCAAGAGTTCTCAGGGGTTAATGGTCTATTCCACCTGGCTTTGATCACCAAGATGATCAAAGTGGACTCCAGTTAAATTATTTTTTTAGTGTTCTTTGATCACCTATAAATAAATCACCTCTGAATTGTCACATACATGTCCAATTTGTTTATTGCGGTTTTTAGAAAATATCAAAAATGTTACAAATCAAAATATGTAGTACAACAATTGGACATGAGTGACTATTCAGAGGAGGTGTGATTTGTTTGTAGATGATCAAAGGACACTAAAATAATAATTTAACTAGAGTCCACTTGGCTCACCCAGGACATCGTATCCGTGGGTGATCAAAGGCACAGAATAAATTCAAAGGACACTAAATTGTCGCTGTAAGTCCACTTTGATCACCTGGCTGATCAAAGCCAGGTGATCAAAGTGGAATACACCTCCCTTTAGAACGTAGGTAGTCACTAAGACGAAATTTTGCAAAATTCAACCCTTATGGGAGTTAAAAAGGGGGTTA